CACTGAGCGCCGCCCTGGCCTCTCCCAACCGCATGGACGTAGCGAGTGCCAAAGAGGTTTCTCCGAGCGACGGGCAGGATCTGGGGCCTGAAGACGAGAAGTCTGAGGAGTCCCAGGAAAGGCCGGAGAGTCCCAAAGAGTTCCTTGATTTGGACAACCACAACGCGGCCACGAAGAGGCAAAGCTCAGTGGCAGCGGGGGAGTTCCTCTACGGAGCGCCCCCACCGCACCTGGGTTCGGGGATGGGATTCGGCCCGTCGGCTTTCCCTCCCCATGGGGTGATGCTACAGACTGGCTCTCCTTATGCATCCCGGCATCCTGCCAGTCATTTCCAGCCCAGGACGTATGGATCACCCATGAATGCTCACCTGTCTCATCATCCGGCCTCCGGCCAGGCCAATGGCCTCTCTCAGGAGGGACCCCTGTACCGCTGCCGGGAGGAGAACGTAGGTCACTTTCAGGCCTTGCTGATGGAGCAGAGAGGCAGTGGAGGTGGCATGGGGGGGCCACCCCAGGACTTGTATAGACCTTCGGGGTAAGATCGTGTTTTCTGCGAGAAGGCAAGGTGGGAGGGGGGTGATGCCAGGGTGACGATAAGTGTTGGATATCCTTGAAAGGACATGGCTTGAAGTCAGAGGAGATGGCAAGTGCTGTTAAGAGGCTAACAGGTGACTCAGACTCCTGGAGTAAGAGGTCTCTTAAGATGGAGACAGAGTCTCGTTGCAGCTCCTTAAAACAAGTAGCAATCGCTATCATGGAGACCTGTTAGCCTGTCCCATCCATCCCCACACCAGTGCTTTGTTTTATCTGACAGTGTTCTGTTAATGTGTCATCCAGGGTTGTGCATCTCTTAATCAAATGGGCTCTTGCCATTTTCTTTGCAAGAATTTTATTGCATCTTTCTCATAGTGGAGCAGAGTAGCTAACTAAAGTGGTTAGCCTCTTGTTATGAACTCCTTTAATGTTGCCCCCTTTTACCCCTCCTCTTGCTTTGCCCTCCCTCTCTATCTCAAATTTCCGTCACAGAAAATTACCTCTCACTGAGACTGTGCATATCACATTTTATTCCCGAGTGGAAAATTCTGCTACTCCAAAAACTCCCTGTTCAGATTTTATAAATGTGCTTCGACTGTTACTGTTTTGTCATAGTCTCAGCGTGACAGTCCTTCTTCTAGTATTCAGGGAGCTTGGCTTACAACTAAGCCATTGGAGAGTGGCATGGATTAAAGGTGGTGTTTTGGGGGGAAGCCGGAACGAAAAATACACGAGATGCATGCTTGTATGTGAATGTTGTATGTATGCATTCAACCAAGTAGATGGGATTTGCTCTTGGTGTTCACATGCTAAAACTCTCTCCATTCAACCTGGCTCCAGAATGCAAATGCATCAGGCTCAAGTTCCCTTCCCGAAGATGCCTACAGCAACCATGTCCCGGGAAGATCTGACGTCACAAAAACCATCAGCGTTGCCTCTGGATCAAGTAAGAGCCGCTAGAGAGAGCAGAGTTGATATGCAAGTCTTTCTCTTCCCACTGGTTAAAGGAGTGAGGTGTTTGGATGAGAGTAGGAAGCACTGGAAGAAGCTGGGAAGTGAACTGCTGCTCTGCAGAGGAGTTGGGGATGTCTCTATAGTCTTAGCTGACTGTAAAACGTAACCTAGGTGGAACGATAGTGTTAAGCTTTGAACTGGTTGCATGCAATCATGAGGTTATTCCTTTCTAAAGCTGCCAGTTAAAGCCTCCAACTCTTGTTCTTCCTCTTCCAGAGCTAGTCCGAGGAAGGACGGACTTCACGAAGACGAAAGCCACACGTGATTTGGACAAGGGGGAGGAGGGGCAGGCCTTCCTCCCACCCTCCCCTCACCCAAGCAGCATGTAGCTTCCTGGGTCCGTGGAACATGGTGCCGCAACGGCTTTTGTGTTGGAAACCTGGAGCGGTGCTGGGCCCCAGCCAGCCGAGCAGCTGGCTCGCCACTGCAGGGCGAGCTTCGCAAACTAGTGGCTTTCTGTGACCGGAGACTGCGTCTCGTTCAGGGTTTGAGGGGTTTTTTGGGTGGGGAGGGCGGGGGTGGGGGCGGAAACTTTCATTGACTGCTAAACTCAGGTATATTTTTCAGGGTGGAAGAGGATGATGATGGAATTTTACTTGTAGTATTAACGTGTGTGTTTTGGAGCTGGATCCAGTTTACAGACTTTAACCTGTTGCCTTTTTAAATAAATTTCTGTTGTTGGTGAATGTATTGTACATAATGGGGGAGGGGGTGGGCCCAGCTTGTAGTGGGCTTAGCACTGGAGGAATCCTTAACTGTTTACAATCATATCACACTGAAATTTTTCAGGATAAGGGTGAGGGTTTGAGGGGAGTGGGGAGAGGTGACGGAACGTGTGACGGATGACTTGCTGTCCTCCTTCCTGTCCTCTGCAACCGAGACACAACCCAATGGTTGGTTGACTGAATAGCAGGAATTGCTCAGGAGCATAACGTGTCCTCCTCTTTCTCTTGTCTTCTTCCTCCTTCCCTCCTCACCCCCACCTCCACCCCTCTGGATCCAGGGCCTGAGTGCACTTCCAGCTCCTGTCATCATGGGGGAACAAGGAAACCAGGACCAGGAATTGAAACCAGGACAGGACACTCATGGCATTGTCCCTTCTGCTAGTACACTACCTTTCTCCCTGCCTTTCTGATAGGAGAAATGTATGCTCTAGAAAACATAAAATGGCATAACTGGTCATCTTAGACTTCTTTCAGTGAAACCGGTGCAGTTGGGGGTAGAGCAGCACCTATCCAGTAGAACAAATTTTGTGCAAATCTGTACTGCCCTGCTGCCTGAGGAGAGGAGCTGAGTCCCCACCTTTCTTTATCCCTTGGCTATATTCACTTCTTAGCAGCAGCAAAGCAGAAAGTACTCTGGGGTTCCTGACCATTCTTGGTTGCCTGTGAAGGAGGAGCATGAGGCTGCTTCAGGGAAGCAATTTGTTTGCTGCAGCGTGAGCCGTTTGTTGGCCTATGGAGTTGGATTTGGCATTTTGCAAGTTGCAGGTGAATCAGAAAGCACTGATTCGAAATCAAATGTTAAGGTGGCATGGCTCAGGGGTGAGGGATGAGGGGGCTGCGTGCTTGAGTTGACTTGGTTTACCTTTGTCATTGTTGATGACATAGCAGCAAGTCCTACAGGGCTAGTGGCAGCTTCCCTCGGTGGCTGTGCGCAGTCTGCAAGGGCTTTCCTCACCAGTTGCAGTACTGCACTGGGGAAGCCTTGCGTGCCAGTGCTTCGCCAGGCACTGACATGCAAATGTAGGTTTGACAAATGAGTTCATTAGGAATCCCATCTGCAGGTGTTTATTCACATCTTAAACCTAACAAGGAAATACAGCTGATTATTCCTGGGGGAGCTGGAGTAAAACAAGGTGGAGTTGCTACATGACAAGATTGGGCAGCAAGATCTGCTGGGACCACAGCCCTCGTGCAGGCTGCTGGTTGCACTGGGGGGACAGCGGTATGGTTAAAATGAGGATGTGCCAATGCGTTGGACAGATTGTGCTAGCAAAAGCACAAGTGGGAGAAGAAGTGAGGACAGAGCAGGATGCCCTCTGGTTTGCGGTACCAGCTAGGGGAGGGTCTTTGTCTCCAGAGAAACTTTCTGGTGTCTTTGTTGTCTTGGATGGTGCTATCACCCGTATCTTTAGCTGGATTGCACTAGCATGCACGACTGCACCACCTTTGTCCTGCTGTGTAGATCTACAATGTGCTGGCAAAGCTGTTTGAGCAAATGGCAGGTAGCATCTGACTGAGTCATTACTCCTTCTGTCCTAAGATTCTGGAAGCACAAAAAGCCTAAAAGATGAGAAATATTCTTTCTTGAAATAGTTAGGACAAGGAAGGACTGCCACATTAGTGCCCTCTTACCAATGAGTCGCACTGCTCTGTTGCTACAGTACTTTTGCCTCTGATGAGCTGTGTAGGGCCAAGGCATTTTCCAAGCCTAACAGGAGTTAAACTTCTTCATGCTATTCCCACAAACGTGTTTGTAAATGCAGTTGTTCTTACTCGCTGCTGCAGCTAGCCTGTGAACTATAGCTGCTGTCTGCTTAGTCCAGTGAGTTGCCTGGAACAGCTAGCTCCTCTGCAAAGGAAGACTTCAATATAATGTGAATTACTTACAATATCTATCTACAGATGCCATTACATTATGAAAAGGAGGGGTTTTTTTGTGGATTTTATTTTTTTTTTCATTTGTGTTCATCTGTTAGGGAGCAATTGTCACTGGTGAATTGGCATAAACTGGAATAGATGATCTTGAAGGTTGTCCTTTGACTGAGAAGCAGATAACTGCTCTCCCCAGCCAAGAACATTATGCTATGGCTCATCGGAATTTGTCCCAGATCTGAGGGTCTGCTGCTGGCTCGTCAGCTGGCAGTGGGTTTTCAGAGGTGCCCCAGCTGCTTGGAAATGCAGGTCTGGATTCTTCCCTGAATGGAGGTACTGAAGCAGTAGTAGGTATTTATGAAAAACTGCAAGTATAACTGTTCTTCAAGACAATAAACCTGGGACAAATGAAAACACAGTTGCTTCTCCGTGTAAAGCAATCTTTAGTTCATTGTGGATATGAAAATAATTTGAAATAGCACATTTAAAAATAGAGGAACTGTAAAATTTAACTTGTAGCAAAGTATTCGAAATTCTGGAAATGTGAACGTAGATTCTGCAAACAACCCCTGCTGTACTTCAGCCTGTGTCTTCTGTATCACAGACAGTTACCCAAATATTTGAAGTGCCTTTCATTCAGCTCATTGTGAACTTTGTGGAACAGGAGGTTTTTAGAAGCTATGAAAAAAAACCCAACCAAGCTGAAGCACTCTTGGCCTTCAGCTGAAACTGGCACTGAAAACATGGTTCTAGTGGTCATGGTATCTGGATGAGTACCAAGCCCAGATCAAAACGGGACGAATAAGAAAGGCCAGAATTGCTTGTGGTCTGCCTGGAGAGGGTAGTGGAGTGTTAGTGATAGATGCCCCGAGGATCCTATATGGAGTGTGCGACGTGAAGATATTATCCCTTAGCTGGCATAATGGAAAACTGGGAGAAAGGTTTGACTTGCAGATGGTAGACAAAACAGAGTAGTGAAGCTGACTCCTCCTGGGAGGGTTTCTAGGTAAATGGCTTTTGATGTAGTCAGTAATTCTTATTAAAGTGACTAACAAGCTGCTGTTGTGAGGACACATGGTTTGTATTAGAAAAGTACTAATATAGCATAGGGGTAACTATGGCTGGACTACCAGGGATAGGGCTATCCTGGGGACAGGGCACACTAAGAGAGCGAGCTGCTTGTGGAATCTTAGCTCGAAATTTCCAGACTTTCAAATGCTTTGTTCATAAGTGTTTGGGGTTTTTTTTCCTTGTTATGATGACATCTAGGGATGCCCCAAAAATCAGAGCTCTATCTCACTAGGTACAATCTGAGCAAATCACAGAAAATCAGCACCCCTCAGAGGGCATGGGGCTAGGAGTGGATTGCTGTGGTGGAACACCAGTGGAAATGCACAGGGAGAAGCAGAAAATGTGAATTTTATAGTTTATGGTTTCCCAACCCATGCTGCACAGGGCTCTTTTGTAGATATTGTGAAAGAGACGGGTTTAAGGAGGGATTTAGAAGATAGTAAAATGGCAGCTCTTTATGTACAGAGTGGTACTTTTTGCCATGGGTTGGCATACAGTGCAGGAGAAATGTAGCTGCATTTTAAAATTTCCTGGCTCTTGAGTGCCATACTTGTGTCACTATCTTAAATAATATTTTAACACAATACAGAGACATTCTGGACTCTGATTGGAAGCCCTTTTTCTCATCCCCCAGCATTGTTGTAGCATAGTATATTACCAGCTGGTCCTTCTTCAGCAAGCATCTTGAGGTAGTAACTTTGCAAAGTTTCCTGTAGCTATTACTTTTCCCATACGGAGGATGTGTTTTGCTGTAATTACGGATTTCATGTTAAGCGAGACTATATAATACGTAGAACAAATATGATGTTGACCATGCCAAAAGTTTCCAATATTCTCAGAAAAGCTTTGTACACTACTTAGGCTTTTTAGCATCTTGCTTTCCCCAGCTCCTCGCCCTTTGCAAATGGTGTGTGGTGTTCCCGAGATGTTCAATTGCCATTATAAATGCCATTGTATAAACTTCCCCTGGGACTCTGGAAGTTTCAGGCGTCTTAAGCACTACAGGCCCTGGCAATTCAACTTAAGTATTTTAAGAAGGCCAGTCACTGAGGCTTCAGAGTGATTTTTAGCTGTGTCCAGCAGAAGTTTGCAGTCTATAAATTCCATGGTGTGACCCACCAAACCACTCAGTAGCAATCCAAGGCACCAGCCTGCAATGAGGAAGACAAAAGAGGAAAGTAAATTTGAAGCTTCAAGGCCCAACTGGTTTGATTTGTGACTTTAAAGTACATGGAGACACTTTTCTTGGAAGAGCTTCTGATCCTTTCTTGTCTGCCAAATGCCTTTCCCAAGCAGACTTTCTGAAACCAGTCTCCTGTGTATATTTTTGTAAGTGTGGTTTCTCGGGGTCTTGGAGAGCTATCAGCTTCTTGATGTCTTATCTGAAAGCTAGTCACAAAGGCTGTCTTTCATTCTGCTGACTGAGGCAGTTCTCCTGCAGCTTCTCACCCCAACACTTCTCCATTTAAAATGAAAGTATAATTAGAAAACAACTTTCCTTTTTTTCCTCTACTGATCTCTGTTAGTCTTCTGTGCATCTCTGTGTTCAGCCAGGGCTGTTGCTTTGCTCTCGATGGCTTTGTTCTGCTTTCCTTTTCCGAGGAGACTGTGTTGCCACGTGCATCGTGGAGTTTTGGAGAAGGTGCTGAACTGAGTGATGGGGAAGAGCCATCCTGGGTGGCTTGGAGAAGACAAACAGGGCGATTTGTGATGGTTTCGTTCCCCCCGGTTCCCCTTGC